CCCCAAAACCCCAAAACCCCAAAACCCCAAATTCTATTAATATATTCGAAGAGATGAAGAGAGAAAAATTAAATTAATTAATAAGATCTTTGCGAATAAAAATGTTTCTTACTAACTAACCGTTTAAGAGACCTTGGGAGGACCAAGAGAATAAAACACATGTGAAGGTTGATTTTAATTGCTTATTAATTTATTTTCAGGATTGGCACTACTATAAGGCATAGACTAATTTGTGGTTGAACCCTCATAGAACAAGCAAATAGATGGCGAAATTTTATCATTAAGGAGACTAATTATTCAATGGTAAATATACTAGCAAGGCCTTTATCTTATGAATGCTTTAGAAATTCATTACTCTGATGAGGAACTCCTTAGAATTCAGATGATGGAAGAAAATCACTCAAAGAGACTGTATCATCAGGATTAGATTCAGTCATCTTAAGAGAGACTTGCCAATAGAAAGCTAGAAAGAGAAGTCGTAATTATTTAGATACAATAAATAGATTTAATTTTATTTTTAGCTGTAATTCAAATCAAAGCAGTCAGTTTTTACAACAGACGATGCTAACATTGAAGAAGTAGTATCTCAGGATCCATATTTGACTTCAGAAATGACTATGAAAAGATCTGTCAGCTTCAAAGATCCCACAAAGACTTATAATGTTGAGAGCGCAACTTGGAGTCTAATAAACCACTGCCCGACTAAATAACTAGACAAGTTTATTAGACCCAGGATAGTTGAGATGGACGCGTAAGGTTGCGATAGAATAATTTAGAGAATCAACGAGGATAGGTAAATGAGCGATATCTAGAAAGAGTACTTTTAAAGAAATAGATAAAAGATAAGAGAGAAATTCCTAGAAAGAACCTAATAATTGGAGCACTTGTAGCATAAATCAGGCTAAAGGCTTGTTAAAGGTGACAGCTAGAATAACTTTTCAGTAGGTCTTGCTTAACTTTAACTATTTAAAAACTCTTAAATCAAGATGATTTAGCCAACCCAAGATTAGTTATATAGAACAACTTCTAGCTTCAATCTTTAAAATCAAGGAACAATGAATTCGAATAATCAAAATTTTGCTAATAGAATTACAGTTTTAGCATAGCCAAAGCAAGATTATGAAACTAATAACATTTTCAAGCATTAAGAATTTAGGGGTTTACTTCATTCAGACCACGAAGAAGCACTGAAAAATTGTACCTCAACAAATAAAGCTAAAAGATCAGCATCATAAAGATTTATGACGGCTCCAACTTTAAATGGAAAGACGTCCTTTGGTTCTTTGAAATCTGATTTGAAGATCACGACAGCGACTAAAGAGCTATTTCCCATTCCTGAACTTAAAACACCATAAAACTACATGCTTTCCACTCTTAAAGGGTCATCTTAGCAATCTTTAAGATCAAATGAAACACTGAGCTCCTACATCAGATATGGATATGATAATCATTAGACTAAGAAACCTTATGCTGATAATGTTAACCCGATATTTAGCAAGAATGGGAAAAGATTAACTCACATAAAGAGTGAAGCTGAGATTTAGAAATTCCATCATGAATCAGAACTTGACTAGTTTAAGCCAGATGAAAGGATGGTAGTCCTAGAAGAGATGAAGTAACTTAATGAAGTAGATAGAATCACTAATCAGTCTAAGAAAAGAAGAAGAAACAGATATCCCAGGACTGCTTTAGACTAAGCACTTAACTATCATAAAAGCTTCTAAGAGCATTTAGCTTCTAAAAAGTAGCAGCAGATGAACCAAGATGATAATCTACCTAATATTTGAACATCTTCATAAGATTTTTATGACTAGTGATGAAGTTAATTATTATTTTTCAACTTTTGGACTAAGTCAAATAATTTGCTGGTGGGGTTTTGGGGTTTTGGGGTTTTGGGG